AGTGATGTGTGGCCCGGGGCCGTTCCCTGCCTGCTTGGCTGCTCGGCGGTCACTGTAAATATTTTACACTGCGAGCCTGATGTGCTATTGCGGCAAAACCGTATGCGTCAGAGTTACTCAAACATACACAGATTTGTGAATAGTGATGAAAGCCAACACCAGTGAGGGGACTTCCCTTCAAAGGCAAGTGGGAAAATCTCCCCGTATCTTCTCAAGACTGAGAAGCTGGCAGCCAGGCACTAGTGGGCTTCCCCAGACCTTGATTTTAGGGCCAGTGCTCTTTAATGTTTTTATAAACTATCTGGATGCAGGATTTGGATGTATGTTAAGGAAGTTTGCTGATGATACTGAACTTGGGTGACAAAAACCCCATGCAACACTACAGGCTTGGGGAAGAGTGGCCGGGAAGCTGCCTGGCAGAAAAAGACCTGGGGGTGCTGTTTGACACCTGGCTGAATATGAGCCAGCAGTGTGCGTAGGTGGCCAGGAGGGCCAACGGCATCCTGGCTTGCATCAGAAATGGTGTGGCCAGCAGGAGTAGGGAAGTGGTCGTCCCCCCTGTGCTCAGCCCTGTGAGGCTGCACCTCGAATGCTGTGTTCAGTTTTGGGCCCCTCACTACAAGAAAGACACTGAGGTGCTGGAGTGTGTCCAAAGAAGGACAACAAAGCTGGTGAGGGGTCTGGAGCACAAGTCTGATGAGGAGCGGCTGAGGGAACTGGGGTTGTTTAGCCTGAAGAAAAGGAGGCTGACCTTTTATCACTCTTCTCCCAAGTAACGATTGACAGAATGAGAGGAAATGGCCTCAAACTGTGCCAGGGGAGGTTTCCATTGGATATTAGGAAGAATTTCTTCATGGAAAGGGCTGTCAAGCATTGGACCAGACTGCCCAGGGAAGCAGTTGAGTTCCCATCCCTGGAGGTATGTAAGAGACAGGTAGAGGAGGAGCTTAGAGACATGGTTTAGTGGTGGACAGGTAAGGTTGGACTCAATGATCTTAAAGGTCTTTTCCAACCAAATGATTCTGTGATTCTAGGAGGAGTTGTGGACTCCCTCAAGGGTAGAGAGGGAGATCTGGATAGACTACAGAGCTGGGCAGTCACCACTGTAGGAAGTTTAACAAGAGCAAGTGCCAGATTCTCCACCTGGGTTGGGGGAATCCTGCTAATACATACAAATTGGGGAATGAGAAGCTGGAGAGCATTCCCAGAGAAAGAGATCTGGGGGGTTGGGTGGATGGCAGGTTGAACATGTATCAGCAGTGTTCCCTGGCAGCCAAAAGGGCCAACCGTGTCTTGGGGTGCATCCGGCACCGCACAGCAGGCTGGGTGAGGGAGGCGACTGTGTCCTGGGGTGCATCCCGCACTGCATGGCCGGCTGGGCGAGGGAAGCGAGTGTCCCACTCCCGGCTGCACTGGTGCACCCCCTCCTTGAGGGCGTGCTTCAGTGTCAGAAGGACATCAAACTGTTAGAGTGTGTCCAGAGCAGGATGACCAAGATGGTGAAAGGCCTCAAGGGCAAGGCTTGGGAGGAGCGGCTGAGGTCACTTGGCTTGTTCAGCATGGAGAAGAGAAAGCTGAGGGGTGCCCTCATCGCAGTCTGCACCTTCCTGGCGGGGTGGGCAGCAGAGGGGGTGCTGATCTCCTCTCTCTGGTGACCAGAGACAGGACACGATGAGATGGAATGGAGCTGTGTCAGAGGAAGTTCAGGTTGGACATTAGGAAAAGGTTCTTCACCCAGAGGGTGGTCGGTCCCTGGAACAGGCTCCCAGGGAATCAGTCACAGCAGGGACCCTGTCAGAGTTCAGGGAGTGTCTGGAGAAGGCTCTTAGTCATGTGGTTTGGTTTCAGGTGGTCCTGTGAGGAGCAGGGAGTTGGACTTGATGATCCTGATGAGTCTCTTCCAACTCAAGATATTCTGTGATCCTAAGAAAAAATAGTTATAAATTTTGCTGATTCTCCAGGTAAAAAGGAAGGATAAAAAGCTGGCCACTTACACTCACTTGAAGAATAGCTGAATTATGGAGGAGGCAACCATGAGTTCTAGCTGGGAAAAAAAAATAAGAGTTGAGAATTTTTCTTCTACTTCTTTGACCTGTGCAGGAGTAATTTCAGGTGTGAGTTAAACCTTGAATGCTGTGGAGCATTCGGGGGACCCGACCCGGAGCTGGAGGCCACCATGGGCTTCTCCGGATTCGGTGCGTTGCGGTGCGGGCCGGGGGACTGCCGGGCGCCCGGTGGAGGGGCGCGGGAGGTGGTTGCTTGGGGCCGGCGGCCCTTGGTGGGGAGCCCTGGGGAGGCTCCAACCCCCTGCTGGGGGTGGAAACGACGCGGTCGTGCCTGGCGCCTCCCGCCCTTCCCCCGCCCCGGAGCTGCCCGAGTGCCTGCGACCGGGATGAATCCGTGTCCCAGTCTCCCATTTCTTCGTTTTCAGGGAAGAAAGCTCGCACTTTCGACCTCGAAGCCATGTTTGAGCAAACGAGAAGAACTGCAGTGGAGAGGAGCAGGAAGGTCTTGGGTAAGAAATGCGAGTGTAGCCAGCCGATGCATTTTAAAACGTGTTTTATTTTTCGTTCCTTCTTGGGGTGATGTTTAAAATGTCTCCAACTGGCTGCCTAGAGAACAAAATACAAATGTAGTTTTGCTGCAGGAAGACAGCCCTGAGCAGCTTGGGGGTTGGTAAATACTGAGTTATTAATTTAGATACATTATCTGAGTATGTAACAACAGTGTGTATGTGCAAGGTTCCTGTTGTGAGGCATGGCTTAAAGATACAGGAAAAAGGTGAATTAGAGCACAAGATTTTTTCCTTTCTTCTTTTACTTAGCTGTGTATTTTTTTTTGGAAGGGAGGTTGGTACAGACTGCTTTAATCTAGAGAGAACAGAGTAACAAAGAAGAACTGTGTGTCTTACACCAAACAGTAGGTGACATAGTAGCCCACAGATTTGTCTCTGTCTTCTGCTACACTGTGAGTGGGTAAATTTGCAAGGTGGTGATTTGAAAGTGGGAGATGGAGAAAATTACATCTTTTGCTGCTCTTATCTAAGCAAACACCATTCCAAAGGTTTCTTGGGAGACACATATGTGTGTTCTAGAAATCCCTTTGCCAACCCAAAGGTCCATGCTTTCTCCCTCCACTTGGACAGTTTGTGCAGAATGTGTGTGTGGGGTTTTTTTGGTTGTTTTTTTTTTCATGCGATGCCATCATGGTTGAGCAGTTTCTGTCCTACTAGATTACACTTTATCTGCTCTCTAAATTGTTGCAGTTCATGGAGTTAGTAGACTTGAAGCACCCTATTGTGAAGAAAGCTATTCTGTATGAAAGAATGAGATGATTATGGTGTTGGTTGTTTTTATTGTTTTGATTCTATACAGAATTGTTGTGGTTTAACCTGGCTGGCAACTAAGCACCATGCAGTCACTTGCTCACTCCCCACCTCCCCCCCTCAGTGGGATAGGGGAGAGAATTGGGGAAAAAAAAAGTAAGACCGGTGGGTTGAGATAGAGACAGTTTAATAAGAGAAAAGAATAACAATAGTAATAATAATAATGGTAAGAGAATATACAGAATACACAAAACAAGTGATGCACAATGCAATTGCTCACCTCTTGCTGACTGATGTCTTTAAGACACTATGAAATTGAAATATACAAGGGATTCCAAAACTTGGTTTGAACCATTTTTTTACGTTGGCTGAATCTAAACATGAGAATGTGTTTCCATGTTGGAAACCTTTTTGTCTTTGAGACTGGTTTAGGTTGAGCTGTCATTTCTTATGAGAGGTCATTTGCTTACACTGTGTTTTAGTTTAGGAGGGAAATCCAGCAAACAATTACAAAAGCAAGATGTCTTGACTTGAAAACTTTTGAACTGCATCTTGAATGTGTCTTCTCCCTCACCCATCCTCCCCCAAAGTTTTCTGAGCTCTCACCCATAAAGGAAGCACAATTCATTTTGTTGTTGATCATTTTACCAAAAATGACAAAGCTTTATATGTAATTCAGCTGTTTAACTTGGAAACAAATTTTGATATTCAGAATATAGTAATCAAAAAGGTGTATGTTTTATATCTTTTTGTGGGGGTGGGGTAATGTGAGCATTTTATTTTCAGATTTATTAAGATACACTGTTGACTTGTAGCTTTTTGGAATACCTGTGGTAACTTTTGGAAATGTCTGCTCTGTTACCCAAACTGTGGGTAAAATGAACTGAGATCAAAATATGCTTCTTGGTTCTATATCTTACAGGTGTTTGTGTTTCTCTTCAGAGGAAAATATTTCTGAACCTTGCTGTAAAACTTGTTTTTCTTTTTGGTTTAGTTAACAAACAGTGAGCAAAAAAAGCAAGTGATGTTTTTGTATAGAGAGAAAGTAACTTTTCTCAGCTAATTGAAGTTATTCAAGCACTTCTAGAAATACCATAGCTGTATCTGTTACCCTGTCATAATCCCGCCATTCTTATTTATGCTTTGAAATGGAAGGTTCTGTTTACTTTGATTTTGTTGCACTGTTCCAAGAGGGATTATTTTTCAGTAGGTGAAGTGGGAATAAACTTCATACAAACAACTCTTTGTATTTATTTTCCATAAATCATATTTAGAGTTCATTTATTTACACCTGTATACACTCATGTACTAATTTAGTTCTCTGCGCTATGAAAACTTCAAGAACTTTCTGAAGTAATTACACTGTTTCCGTATAGTGTTGAAAATATTGAAATGTCAACATCCTTATATGCTCAACTTATGTTTGGTAGCATGTACAAACTAACAACTGGATGGAGCTTCTGTTTTCCTTGTGACATTTTGTTTGTTTGAGTGATCATTGCAGTAGCAATGGAAATTTAATTTATATGAAAAGTGATCTCTTTTCAGGTGGAATCCTTTATTTGCTCTTACCTTTTCAAATAGGTCTGAAAATGAAAAAAACTTTTACTGTCCTCATCAAGCCTCTAATTCTACAGTTTTTTAGAAGTCTTAATTATTTGTCATTTATGTACTCTCTGTATTCAGAGGCTCGTGAAAGAGAGAAGGAAGACCAGGCTGAAAAAGAGTTTAGAAATCCATGCACTGATTCATCAGCTTCAGCATCCAGTGCAACAGGAGCTGGGTCCACATTAACGCAAAGGTACTTAGATATGGTGGGAGATTCCGTGTAACAGCTTTCTCATCTGAAGAAGGTTTTTGGGGTTTTTTTTTTGAGAGCATAAGTGTCATTTAACTTGTGTGAACATGTCTATGTTATCTGTAGTATTTCAGTGGAAATACCGATTTTTAATTTTTTTCTTATCTATTCTTTCTTAAAGATGCGTAAATATTTGTAAGTATTGATGTTCTGTATATTTAATAGTAAATTTTGAAGTCTCTTCCTTAATTCCCTTTAGCATACTTTTAAAAGAAAATATAAACAATGTTGTTGATCTGTGGATTTTTTAAAAATACCTACATGTGCTAAATGAATGAGCAGCTATTGTTCTCACCTGTAGCCTCTATGCATGTTGTGTAGAGTAGTGGTGGGGTTGAGAAAGTATTTTGTTTTTACTACAGTCTGAAATTTATTCTCAAAACTTGCCAATGTTTGTTATTGACAAAAAAAACGGTACTGCTTTGACAGTTTGAATTCTGAAGTACCGGGAAATAAAAAGTAGCTGAAAGTAATGGGGGTCACACAACTCCATTGTGTGGCAGGGATTTTGAGATCAGTGGGCTGTCAATTTTCAGGTTTCAGCATCTATTGAAGTCTAGTAACCCCCACAAGACTCTAGTAGGCCTATATATATGTATCTTATGGGCTGATAGAGTCTATATGTGGTAGGCTGTTATCATAGAATCATAGAATGCTTTGGGTTGGAAGGGACCCCTAGAGGTCATCTAGTCCAACCCCCCTGCAGTGAGCAGGGACACTGTTGACTAGATCAGGTTGCTCAGAGCCCCATCCAGCCTGGTCTTGAATGTTTCCAGGGATGGGGCCTCCACTGCCTCTCTGGGCAACCTGTTCCAGTCTTTTGCCATGG